ATTATTAAAAAACTATTTTAAAAAGCAATGAGAATATAGCCCCAAACTAAGCTTATGTGACTATAAGCATTTTATTACCGATAATATAAATGTTGATTAATGTCTAAAAATGCTTCTTACCTTCTCATCTCTAGCCATAATAGATTTAGGCTTCATTTGGGACGGTTTTCTTCTCAAAACAACTTTCTACATTTTTTTTTTAATTATAAAGCTCCTTTAAAAATCGGTAAGAAAGTAGTCCCAAACATAGCCTTAAGCTTTTAAAGAAGATATTTTGTTTTTCAAATGAACATCAAATTTTATTAGTAATAGTACCCATCACTAAAAATACAATAAAAAATGCCTTCCCAAATAACTTAAATTTGAACAAAATAATAATCGATAAAGTTTTGAACAATCCGACTGTCCAGATTAAATCATCATGCCCAGCCAAACAGCCCATTTTGGCATTACCTATACCAAATGCATTTTATCTGTCTGTTGCAGAGAACCAAGAACAAAAACACTCCTTGTAGAATCTGATAATTCGAAACAGTAAAAATGCTTGAAACTGTGCTGTGGAAGGGACATTCGTTATCAATTGAATGCAATATTTGATTACCACCCATGAAAGGAACCCACGGGAATTACTTAAAGAGCAACAAAGTAAACTTTAAATCTGCAATCCAACAAATACATTCTAAAAACTCACATTGCACCAAATAAAAGCATTACCAATGTCTAACCATACGATTTCATTTATTTATCAAAAAAGTAACATTGATATATACATCAGATTTTTTTACATAACCTCTAAACAACAATAACATGCAATGAAAGAAGCAAAAATTACAGAATTGAATTGGTAACTAAGAAACAAACTATGAATTTACTCCACAAGCTTTTAACTTTTGAAAATGACTCCATTAAGTTTCACCATTCTGATCATAATAGCATGATCTGGAGAAAGATGCTGAGAACAACAATCTACAAAGCTTAGAGCTCTAAAGGTATCCAGATTTTTCTATTCAGAATGTAAAAAAGAAAAATATATTAGAATATGGTAAACTTAAAATGTTTTAAAATCTAAAACTAAATTCAAACTTAGATCATTTTGAGACAAAAATAAAGGTACCTCAACAGATAAAAGTACCTTCAGGAGCCCTTGCAACGATCTTAGTATTGAAACTGAAAAATTTAACATTTAGAAAAAAATATCAAAATATGTATACATATTTCACCTACTTAGTTCAA